AATGCTGAATTACAAATTATTTAGTATGCTTTTTGCCTATTTGTTTTAGTTTTAAAACACTGGTATGTAATTTCTACTTTGCGTTCTAAACTCTTGTTTCAATGGGATATGCTCTAATCCCTTACCAATATTTATTGTCCTATAGAGAGGCTGTAGTGGATCACTTTCAGCTTAATTTTGTCAATCTTCCATAGTCATTAGCTCAGACAGCATTTCTAGCCCTCACTAAAATACTAGTTGTTGCACCCAAATACCTCAAGAAGCTGCTGTGGGGTCTCTCTTTTGTATTTTCTTTTATGTTCTCTTGGTCATATCTAGTTTAGATTTCTCTTGCCTGTAGGCACTATATATCAAGTTTAAGAAAATAAAATTCCCTCTTCAAATTTTTCCATTACTCAGTCAAAATAAATAGGATTTCTTAAGTACTTGTAGGAGTTATCAGGACTCTTCTGAAGATAAAAGATGCTAGTATTCTTTGTCAGTTGACACCCGTATCTATGAAACTGGAATTGAACTCGGTTACCCCTCTACACAGCATCACCACAAGACTGCAAGAATCAAAGAAGGATCAGGATTATTTATTTTAAGTCAAAATAAAGAATGCATTTTCATTCTTGTTATTGACAGTGCTAAAGTCAAGACTGAGTATAACAGAAATATTAGTAAATCTGAAGAGGATATTGTAAGCATATCTGAAAATCATATACAACAAAACTATTCAAAAAATCTTGGAAGATTTTATGATCTTAGTTTTCTCCATTTTTTGATACTTTTTTCCTCCTTAACTCAAAAATAGGTATCTTCACTACAGAAATAAACTAGTTCACAGTCCACTTATGTAACATGAAAATAGTTAAGTAGTAATAGAAAGTAGTAATAGAAAATAGTGAAATAGTCATCTGCTTACTATGACGCACAAATAGGTATTGCTTCTTACTAAAAGCATATTTCTGTCACCCATATACTCTTCAACAATGAGATGACATTAGTGAGTATTCATGAAAATACATCATTTTACTTAAAAGAACATAAAGTAATAGAGATTTTTTTCATTATCTCTAATAATGAAGTGCAAGCTCCAGCACGCATAAAGCACTCCCAATGTTAAATCCTCTTTAAAGTTCATGAATATTGTGACTGCGTGACATTTGTTCTTTTTGGCATCAGAGCCTCATTTAAAACAAATGTTTCAAGATTCTGTGAGATACACCGTAACACTACTTGCCATAAACATGATTGCTCATTTTACGCCTCCATTTCATCTACATACAAAATAATTGACTACATAATAAGAAAGATCCTTTCCCTAATTATTACATGTATTTTTTTTCATTTCATCTTCTGAAAAACATTACTCCTTATAAAATCAACCACTGACATTCTAATGAATACAAGTTTCTTTCTTAAGACTTACTGGTAAGACCTACTTTTCTACAGCTGATGACTAATCACCTGCAAAGCAGAGTAATATAAAGAAAATTTTTTTTAAGCCCTCAACTTCGAAGCACTTTAAAACAATTCATCACATCATTTCTGGCAAGGTATACAAAGAAAACTGTAGTAATTAAATGTAAACTAAATGAAAAACAATGGCATGAAGGTTATTTTTTTGTTTCTATAAACTTTTTAGTAACTCTTTAACTAAACTTTTGATTAAGTACTGAAAAATAAAATTAATAAAATTTGATTAACATGCATAAATTTAAGTGCCACTAACCTAGTTCTCCATTTTCAATTACTTCAAAAGCAGCCCAGATATCATCTTTGTTGGGAATAATGTTTTTGATTCCTAAGACATCATTAGTTAATTCTTCTGCTTCCATCAAAGGTGATACCTGTAATACAAATTGAGTTAATTTATATTACAATTAGCAATTTCTTATTTCTCCCTGCAATTGATATTAAAAAAAAACCCACCAAAGAAACCCCCCACCAAAACCAAAACCCAGATATACTAAGTTGGAAAACAAATTATTTCTCAGACTCCAGCATGCTTTCTCATTTTCCTTATTTTGTTCCATGAAATCAAAGTTATAATTTTTAGCTAACTGATAAGTTGGTAACTTGAAATTCTTTCTCTATACCCTTGAAAATTTAGGGAAAAAAAGCACTTTGATATGTTTTCTTAGGTATGGAAAGGTAAATATTACAGAAGTACAGAACAAAAAGGAAACAGAAGCAGAGGTATAACATAACAAAAAAAAAATTGCCCTCAAATTTTCTAATTCCTTTTTAATGATATCTGTCTTTGTCATTACAGAAATGAAATGTTTTTCCTCAGCATCCAAACAACAAAGCACTGCTACATGGAGAAGAGTGTTTAAAGTACACTATCAGACTCAAGGTTGAAAAATCTCAATTGTAGTAAGTAACAAGCTTTGGTTTCTCAGCATTCAAGTAAAGCTTATAGCCACTGCCAAGAAGAAAAATCAGGAGAAAGGTCATTTGAATGTCTCTGTACTATTAAATAAAACCAGTATTGACTGTGTACTTGCTAATGTTCTTGTATATAGCACTATAGAGCTGTGAGAATTTATACCGCTGCATACTGCAGTAAAACTAAAGGAGGACATCTCCCCTTTAAAACTGTATCACAACATTCTCCTTAAAAATGCATAATAATCAGTCCTTATGAAATTTAGGCAACACAAAAAAATGAGAAAGTATTTTAAAGAATAGTAATAGACTTAAGTTCATACTTTCATTATATAAAAACATGTATGAAAATAAACATAGCCTTCATAAGAAAGTGAGTAGTAAAAACTGTTATACACTAACCCTGATTATAATACTACAGTCTGGTTCCTTCCTTTCAACGTAAACTTCAATAAGCAAATCTCCAGCCTGGGAAACCTAAAACAAAACAATTCAAAAAAAATTAGAGTATCTTAAAAATACTTTAAATATCATTTTAAATAGGGACAGTACAATTATTATCTATTAGATTAGCTAAAACCTACTGAACTCTAATTTTATTTTCCACCAGCTTATCTACAAATATAGTCCAAATGTTAACCTTAATGGGAAAACCTGCTTTATTGCTTTTGTTTGATTAGTGTAAGGGAAAAAACCCTATTGACAGATTCAGAAGGAAAATCTAAACTGACTAAATCCACCAGACTCACATCAAACAAAATCAAAACGCTTTACAAATATACATTCAAGAGCAGGAAAACTAGAAGAGACATGAAATAAGGGGAAATTTTAAATTTATATTTAAGACTGCAAAGGCATCAGCATACCCTAGTATCTTAAACTACAATAACTCTAATTTAGAGGTTAGCCAGGCTCACTTCAGAGTCAAAACAGATTAATAAAATTTAAAACCATAAAATGGACAGGACACCTAAATTGAGTTACTAAAAAAAATGAAAGGGGAAAATTATAAACCACAGAATATTTTTATCATAGCCATATGTACCTATCCAGATAATTAAATTCACTAGTACGACTTCAAATTCATTACTATGACTACATTTATGATTATGTAATGACAATTCTTCATTGTGATTAATATTCAAAAAAGGAATTAAAACAAATGTTCTTGATATCAACCTCTGTTAAATATGATGGAGAAAAATCTGATTAATCAGAAGGAATTCAGTATTTTCCATCACTACTAGGTTTGTTCATCTACAGCAATAAAATTGTCTTCGTGGATGAGAAATTACTTAACTTTTCTACAGTTAAAAGTGTCTCACATTTTGCCTACTCTAATTTGCTTGCAGTACAGTCATAGGGATCTTCAAAAGATTTTAATTCATCCCAGTACCAAAAATATTTTATAAAAATGAATACATGGTAATGGTCAGAGCATAGGGAGAAAAAACAAGGCAGAAAACTGGATATTTCAGGAGTTGTACCCTTTTATTAATAAGCCTACATAAAAATTAATAAATTAACAGTAATCACAATGTGTGTCAATTTTTATAACAGTATTCATAGTGATGCTACTTATATACTACTAGAAACAGAGGAAGAGGCTAAGTAAAAAACCTGCATTATACTCAGAATAAGATATGGAGAAAATTATAGAAACAGGCGAGGTTTGGGATACATTTTGACTAATAAACAGAAGCTGAAACTACATTTCTATAAAAAAAATAAATGGCAGCACTCAGTTTTTAAAGAACATTAACATTCTGAAAAACGGTGACTTTAAAGTTAGTTTAGCCTCTGAGAATAGAAAACTAATGGAAACATTTGTGAGGAAAAACATTACAAAGCTACTTTGAAGAAAGCTGCTTAATTATAGTGGCACAGACTCAAAAAAGCTCATTTAGTTGTAAAATTTGCTTTTCAGCTGATATTATAGAAAAAGGTTGGAAATAAGAATGAAGCTGACATTTGATTTCCACTGGGCTCATATAAACAACCGTATGAAGAGAAAATGTGATGTAAATTACAGCAGCAAACAGAAACAGCTGGCATAAGTATATGGTGGACAGAAAATGAAGAGCTGCTAATGAAGTGCCACCTGGAACGGAACTTCAGTGACATTTCAGACACGAGAACTTTCAGGCCTTCAGCAGAAATTTGGTTCAGTTTTTCTTCTCCAAATATTCTGCATCACCAGTCTGGAGATAATACAGTAACTTCTATACTCAAACGTATTAAGTATCTGCACCACTAATTTTCCCACAATTATGTGCACATTTTGATACAACAATGTCAGACTATCAGAAGTTAAAGGGAAAGGATTCTTACACACAACTCCTAATTGTTGCTGATTGAGACCTAAGTTGCCAATCACACATGCTGTTACATCACTTGGTCTGCACCACATCAGTTTTACCAGCAACTGGAAGCCCATCCAAAAAAGTTCCCAAAGAGAAGAGAACTCTCCTGCATGAGCCTGAAGTCCAATCTCTATGCTACATGGTCTGCCTGTGCAAGTCTTCCTTATGAATGGTCTTGCACACTGCTTACAGGCTCAATGATGGTAGCTGCTGACGGGGAGTAGAACTGCTGAAAAAGAAAGTATTTCAGCACACCCCTTTCACTGAAATAATGAAAGATACTAAGTTAAAGCTACACCATTCCAACTAACCACTGATTGTATTCTGAAAGTGTTTATCCTATTTCAGGTCTGTACCAGCAAATACAGCTCATGAGATGTAGCTGGGGTCTTGATATTCTTTATACAGTGTTAATGAAAGCATCAAATGCCAAGTTGGACATAACAGCAGTTTAAAAAAAGTAGATGGCCAAGCCTGGTAAAACAAAGTGTAGACATCCACATATTGTAGTCTTAAGAAATTAAGAATAATATGCACTTTATACTCAGAAGTTATAAATATAAAATATAACAGGCCTGGCTTTAATGTATTTTTGAATTGAAACACTAGTTACATTAATCATGTCTGCTACAGAAAAATTGGCAAGTGGCAAAAAACGTTCCACAGCTTAATTAAGAGGGGAAAAATGTTTATAGTCACAATCAAACTGACACAAACAACAGTGAGCCTCTTGAAGATCCCATTTCTCAGTGTTACATTCAAGGAGTGAGAGGCTGACATAGCAGAGAGAATACAGTCCCTATCCTTAAAAGCAGTTCAAATTTCAATTTATCAACCATTAAACAGTAGAAGTTTTGTTCTACTGTCCATCGCTTGTTTAGAAAGCTAAAAAGAAAAAAGCTGTTATCTCTGGGGCAAGTGCTCCCAAACAACTAAGGTCTCCCGAGTTCATATTTGCTATCTTGACTTCTGGTGGCTCTTTTTCCAGGAAATGCCATACAGAGTAAAGATACTAAATGATTTTATAAGAATAACAACCATTTTCTAAGTATTTCTCAGTATTTCATGATGTCTTCAGATACAATATTGATAGAGATGAATTAATGAAATCCAGCAGCTCAGTTACTATTTTCCTCATAAAAATATGCAAAACATACTGAACATTAAGAATTCAGATTTTCCAAGTAGAAATCTGGAATCACTTCAGACACAATTGTAAAATGCACCAATGACCAAGTTTGTTCAAGGAATTTTGCATTACTTTTTTTTTTTTAAATAGGGAGAAGAACATCAAACACTGCTTTGAGATCATTGTCCTTTTTGGGAAATAAGGAAGTTTATCATTCTGTATACTATTTTCCATTTTATCTCAATCATAGAATGGTTTGGGTTGGCAGGGACCTTAAAGACCATCTAGTTCCAACCCCCCTGCCATGGGCAGGGACACCTTCCACTAGACCAGGTTGCTCAAAGCCTCATCCAGCCTGGCCTTGAACACTTCCAGGGATGAGGCACCCACAGCTTCTCTGGGCAACCTGTTCCAGTGCCTCACCACCCTCTCCAGGAAGGACTTCTTCCTGTTATCTAATCAGTCAAAGAACAGCTAAAATCCAGGCTCAATCTTTCCATAACTCCGTCTCCCAACAGCCTGGAGAGTCTCTGGGAGACCAGTCCAAGCAAGCCAAATTATTCATCAAGGTTCCAATTTGATAGTAAGAGTTTAAAATTTGGTAGACTAGCTTTTCAGATGCTTGAAGCTTTTTAATAAAGCCTTACCAATTTTAAAGCCTATACTTTTATCTTGAAAAAACAAAAGCAAGTCTCTCTCTTTTTTTCCAACAGGCAGCCTTCTAAATACAATACAGCTCATAAAGGTGATTTCACAGTGGTATCTAGAGTGAAAAAAATACAGAACAAACACACTTTATTTGGGTCCTCTCTATATTCCCCACAGCTTCAACTCTTAGACAAATCCACCTAGCCAGCAGGTCGATTCATCAACAGCCTTCCAGTTTCCTTTCTACTTTTTTCTCCGTATCTAATCAAAATGCCTCCACTATCTTTCTCTACTCCTGATTCCCCGCATATCTCCCTAGACTTTCCAGAAGGTATTACAAACATTCAACCATTAGAGATTCCCAAAGTTGCTTGATAAATGTGATAGAACAAAAAAAATGTTTGTTACAGCTTGTCAAAAATGACAGAACAAGGATGTATTTAAAAGTTTATGCATTTTCACTATCTTCGGCTTCAAAATTTTATTCTTTAATCTCAGTAAGGTTCTTTTCACGAACCCCAGAATTAATAAACTCCATTAAAGATACTTCAACCCTGCCTTGCAGAATGCTCTTAAGGATATCAAATTTGGGGTTTTTTTTGCCATTACGAAGGCAAATGGTCCCATTGTGCAAGAAAGACACTAGAAATAAACT